ATCTATCTATCTATCTATCTATCTATCTATCTATCTATCTATCTATCACCTGAAGGCAAAATTGTTGGGCTGGCCAAAAACATTTATGAAGAATTAGAAAAATTATGTCAAAAAGAGAAAGTCCTAGTATTTACTAAACATCCCAGAATTTACACATGATCACAAAATTGAGCAAAGCAATATTTTGAAATACCTTAGAATCACTTTTTAAGTCTCTGATGAGAGAAGTGCTCATTCAGACCATGTAGTCTAGAATGCTGCCATATCAGAATTTTCCATTAATCAAGGGATGCCATACTAATCCTTGATGCTTTAAAGTTATTCTATGCCCAGGTGTACTCTTAGCACCTCAATGGTCCTCAGCTAGGTCCTGTGGTAACTACTCCAAAACTACTATCTAAAGTTTTACAAAGTATCATTCAAATTTCCACCTGGTGTCTCAAATGTAGTTCTCCTCAAGGCCAGAGTAAATAAGATTGAAAGAAATATTCAGCTTTTCATCTATTAATTGTAGGTAAATTTCTGTCCGTGGGCTTGACCTCTGACACTAGCTGATAATTTTAATGCTATATGGAGAAGGGATCTACTTGAGAAGCTACAAGTATATAGAGTCTCTGAGGAAGTTCTCATATTCCTAGATTAAGAACATGCCAAAAAGGTATTCAGAACCCATCTAGAAAAAAACTAAATCAGTATCAACTGTCCAGAGGTTTTCTTAAGGATTTGATCTTCTTCACTCAGACCTGTGGGATATATAAATTCAATGTATTTCCAAGTTGATGAAGTCTTGAACTAATTGCACTAAATCACTTAGCAATTTAAGGTTTAATGCTCTGCTTTCACTGTACTTGAAGGCAGGTATATTCTCTTTCTCTGTGTGTATATATAAATAAATATCCTGTGGTTTCTGACTATGTCTTTGTGATGTAGATGCTGCTGGATATACATACAGCTTCTAGAGGGATTCCAGGGCTCCTTTTATTTAGCCTGATATAACAAATCCCCCTGGCACACAGATGCTTTTTACATGCAAATCCTCCTCTTGGACCAGACAGATCTACTTTGGCTGCTGCTAAATTCTGCCATGCAGCTACTAAATCTAGGCAGGAATTAACAACTTCCAAGGATAACATTTTCCAGACTCCTGCCATTTAGCTCTGCCTATGGACAAAGTCTCAGTTTTAAAAAACATACCAAGGATTTTACCTTCATTTTTAGATTATTCTTAGCTCAAATCCTATGTGCTCTTAGTTTAGAGTTAATAGTAATTCGGACACCCGTGGGCATACAGTAATCAGAACATAACCACTTTCTGAGCTGTTGTTTAAATCGTTTCGGTTTTGCTTTGTTTTTATTCGGCCCTTGGCCGAAATGAAGAATTGCCTGGTTGCTTTCTTGCTTACCAGCCTCAAGCGGTTCGCAGTAGGCAACATCCTATTCTATCAGAACTGCCTTGTTCGAAAACGGCAAATTTAACTCACCAAGACCTTCAGTTCGCCGCGCAAACAAAACTTTTCAGAGCCGAGAGTTATTCTGTTCCGCAAAGTCAATTTGGTCCCCACCATTACATTTTCAGCCCCTTTGCTGGCGGCCAGTCTTAACAGACTCCAACGGCTGTCATGGGGCAGGCAAGAATCTGCACCAGCCTCTCTCCCAGCCACGGGCAGTGCTCGAGTGGGGGGCGTTTAGGGAGACCCCCCAGGTTGGGTGGGGTGGAAAGGGACGAAAGGGAAAGGAAACAGGCCAACACGCCCATATGGAAACCGGAGGGAGGCGGCGAAAAAAAAATCCCATTAAAACCAGAGGAAGAAACAAAAGAAGGGAGAAGAGGAAAAAGGCGCGCGACTCCTCCCTGGAAAAGCCAAACCGCTCCCGCTTGAGACTTACCTCAACTCGAAGCGGCCGGAGAAAATGCTGCTGCTGCTGCTGCTGCTGCTGCTCCGCCTCGTCCTCCCACCGCTCGGCTCAGTGACTAAAGCGAGCCGCCCCGAATCCGGCATTTATCCCGCCGCGGGCGAGAGCGCGCAGAAGCGACCAGGCGGCGCCCACTTCTCTTCCTCTCTCCGCAACCTCCGCCTCCTCTCTTCGACTTTCTCCTCCGACGCGTCCCAGGCTTTCACTTTCTTCCGCACGAGATCGCGCCGCCAAACAAGAAAAAAAAAAGAAAAAAAGGAGAAGGTGGGGTGGGTGGGTGTACGGGGAGGGGTGGAGAGAGAAACCTCGCTGGGTCTTCCAAAGCCAGGAGCCCTCCCCGTCACGAAAGCACGGCCGCCGCTCGCTCGTTCTTTCTTCGCCGCCTCACCCCTCCACCCACGAGAGAAAGCAAGAGGGCGGCCAGTCGGGCGACGGCGCCAGAGCCACTTAGCTCTGGTCTGTTTCGCTTACAGGCGGGAATTCTGGCCTCGCCCGGTTTTCAGGATGGGTTGGAGAGATAATTACAATTACTTTCACCGATAGCAACTAGATATTTTTAAAAAAATAAACAGATAGCATCCCTATCTCTAAAAAAACACACACACCAAAAGGAGAATCAAAAACCTCAAGTGATCTTAACGACGGTTTAAATTAATGGCCCTACAGCCACAAAATGCTGTAGTTACGACCTACCCCCGTCCAAGATGCAAGCCGTATCTCGGATATGCCTTTTCTTCCATCCTGTCCCGAGCAGCATAACTTGGCCAGTTAGTTGCTCATTCTCCCTAAATAACTGATAAAAGATTTTCCTGTTGAGGTTTTTGTTGGGTTGGCTTGACTCCGCAATTGGTAAATATTCCCAATGAAAGTAGACCTAAGATCATATGAGATAAACTTCCCTTCTGTGCATGAATAATATAGAACAGAATTCTTTATTGGCCAAGTGTGATTGGACACACAAGGAATTTGTCTTTGCTGCATAAGCTCTCAGTGTACATAAGAAAAAAAATAAAATACATTCATCAAGATACAACACTTAGTGATAGTCATAGGTATACAGGGAACATCTGCAGTCATACTAAGCAGAAACCAAACAAGCCAGGAAAGGTGTGATGCATGCAGCGTGCTAAGACACAAAGTTCATGTATATGTTATGCATATGTCATAATATGGCATTCGAGTTTAGAGTCAACACTTTTGACTCTAGCCTCATCCACTACAAATCTGAGTCCTCTATCAAATATTAATAGATAACCCTCTGAAAAATATTTCCAATGTAACTGAGCATATTAAAATGTTCTACACTTCTGTGCATACTGCATTGAATTGCTACATGTGTTGGACTGGAAAATTCAGTCCCATCATCTAACTGCTGGAAGAAGTGATCAGGAGTCGTCGTTTCCCACAATAAATACAACAAATAAATAAATAAAAATTCTCATTATTTGAGTTCATTATTTTTGTTTAAAAAAACAGACCTAAAATTACAGCTTGAACTTTCATTTGTTCTTACCAAGCAGAATGTAAAATACATTGCTTGAAGCTGAGCCTTCACAAACACTGTGATTCCTTCTCTGGTATGCAAAATAGAAGGGCAAGAGTTGCTAACTACAGGATTCCCAGGCTAATTGCAATTCATTAATGCAACAAGTAACCACCGTTGCTCACTTAAAATGAACCACATAATGCAATGTGTATAAGGCCTCTAAGACCTCCATGCCATAGTGCTTGAATTCCTTACACCCATGTTGTGTACAATTTTTCAGACATGTTCAACCAGCCGCTCTACTGCTTCCCTCTCCCAGAAAAGTTGCTATGAAGAGCTTGAAAACTGCAACAAATGAAAAAAAAAAAGCAGCATGTCAGCATTTTAGTAATTAAACACTTTTCTCAGTATTGTAACCATAGTTGCCAACTGCTATGGCATATGGAAAGAGGACTGAGGGAGAAACAAGGCTACCACCAGTCACCAGAATCCTGAAGCCCTATGATAATGGTTGCCTTGACACCCAGGCACAGGGTGATTCAAGAGTTCCTACCAAGAGGAGAATAAACCATCAACAAGGTCAGCCGAATTGCAACACTGCAAAAGGGGGAGGGGGAATTAGCTTTGCTCTGGCATCAAATTAGCCATGCGGAGCCAGAAAAAAAAAATCAACTTAGCTCTCAAACCCAGTTAATGTTGGCATTATGTCACACAGGTTTGGAGCTGCTTCTGCATTGCTGCACAGAGGCACATCTTTTGGCCTGATTTTATATACCTTTTTGATATCATTTATTTTTATCCAGGATAAAGTGACTTTGCTTTTGTTGAGATGAAGAAGCAGCCTGTTCCTTCCTGAGAAGATGTTTTGTAGCCTCCTTATCATGTCCTCAATTATTTAGAACAGCCCTAAGAGCCTTGACTGCATGCTTTGCAAACAATGAAGAAAACTAAAGCAAGGAAAGAGGGGCAATGAATGTGTCATGTTTCTGCTAAAAGTTAGGGGCCCGTGAATCATACAGCAGTTTTATAAGGATGCTTTGTTAAAGAAAAACACCCCATTGAAGGACAGAATCCTATTCTATAATCATTTGGCCAGTATGTCTTTAAATTCAAGCAGTGCAGCAATGGGGTGGCATTAGTGTAACCTTTTGGTATAAAAGGGAACAAGCAAGAAATTTAAGAGAAAACCAAATTGCTATTGCACAAAAATGTTATTGGTGAAAAGACCCTGCAATCTTTCCTACCTGTAATTTACATCAGCAACTGAAGAGTTTTGGTTTACATTTTAAGAGACAATTTAAGATCTGGCAAGATGGGATTTTATGGTGTTAAACTGCACTTTACTGAGCAGAAATAGAGACTGGGTATTTCATCTGCTGTGATGTACTATAGAATTGTTGAGTCTCTTCTATTTTAAAGCAGGAACTGAAGTCAATCAATACCAATTGTTCAGGAACAAGTATCATGAAAAACCCCAAAGAAATTTGTTCTGATGTGGGAGTAAAGGAACTCTCAGTTGGGAACATACTGAAAGAGGCATTTCAGAATGTTTAGTTACCCTGATGACAGCATCTACATCAGTGGTGGTATTCTACTGGTTCGGCCTGGTTCAGGCAAACTGGTAGTTAAAAATGTTATCGTTCGGCCGAACCTGTATTCCCGCCCCCTCTGACTATCAGCTGTTCTGATGATCAGCTGTGCCAGGATCCCCCTTGCTGTCTTACTGCTTTGCCCAGGAGGCTTCCCTGAGGCTCAGGAGGGGGGGGGAACGGAGCATGGGGGGGAAGGTTGCTGCAAAAAAAAGAAGCCATGCCCACCCAGTCACATGGCCACGCCCACAGAACCAGTAGTAAAAAATATTTGCATCCCACCTCTGATCTACATATTGGTTGTGTGAAGCTCTGATGATTTGTGTGGCTTTGAAATGATATCACATTATTTGTTAGCTCAGTTTGATTCAGTATGGCAATATTTAAGTTAATAAGTTAAAGCTAATAGCTGCATTTTTAGAAACATGGGAATTGTCTTATAACCTTTTTATTCATCTTAACTTTATCTACATTAAGCGGTCCTGTCGCTTTAGAATTTCAAGTACCTTATTTTAACAATTAGCTGAAAATGCCAGATATTACACTTAGGACATGCTGAGTGCAAGGTATGTGTTCTACCACTTCAAAGCTAATCTCAGGGACCAACAATGTCAATCATGCACTAAGGTTCATTCCATGACCGGAAGCCCATTAGCATTTATCCTCTGAGTTTGCTATTCCTTTCCATGCAATGGGTTAGGCCACAGGGATCCCCAAACTTGGCAACTTTAAGAGTTAGCTGGCTGAGGAATTCTGGCAGTTGAAGTCCACAAGTCTTAAAGTTGCCAAGTTTGGACACCTCTGGGTTAGCGTTAGGCTTGTTGGGGTCATCGGTTTCCTTGCACTTCTTTCTAGTCAACCTTAGTTGATCTCAGCAACAAAGCAGGTTTGATTTGGATGGGAGACTAATAAGAAATGCTGATAAAATTGCTAAATGTATCCATTGCAAATAGAGTTCAATTGGCTTGTTGCTTATATTCAAGACCTCCTTCTCCCACAACAAAGACACTCAAAAGGTTCCTGTGATCTGCATGGCCAATTTCTCCCCACAAGGAGAACAGGCAGAGGGAAATCCAGTTGAAGCTCACTTCCATCCACAAGGCAGCCATCTCAGAACTCAAATTGCTGTACATGTACAGTAATCTCCAATCCATTGTCTGAATCTGATTAGAGTCTTTCCAAACTGTTTACCAGAACAATATGTTCATTCAAGGATTTGTACTGGTCTGAAACATGACATAATGTTATGCCTGAAAAAGAAAAGTTATGAATAAAAATCTTTTATTGGTCATACTATTTTCTATTTACTCCTCCGCAATAGGAAGAAATCATCTTAAGAACCTTCTGTTGCACAAATACAGGGTTCACATTGTGTGCTAAGCCATATGGTTGAATTAGCATATTGCATGAATGGCTTATAAACCATGGTTTGGTTGTTGTACAAATGCAGTCATTTACAAGCTGTAATTTAGTGCAACATGTATCAAGTGACATATCTTAAACAGTCCCAATAATTGATGGACCTCAAGACCTTCTCTAATGCTAACTAGCATTTCTAGTGGAAGCAGCATCTCTAAAACCACATATTTCCTATTTCTGACCTAAGCACCAATTTCTGCACAAAAAAAGAATCAAGAGTGGAAGTTGTTTATCCTGCACTTCCTACCTCATATGAGATTAGTACCACCATTATTGCTTATTAATTTATGCCTCTTTTTTTCACAGGCAATATAATGAGAAAAATTATGACCAGCAGTGAAGATGCCAGAAATTCTTGAACTATAGTTTTTGATTCTGCTTCTGAAAATCTACATGCTCATTATAATGTTACTTCTATTTAACTGGCACTTGTTAGATAGATTATAGCCAAATTTAGCTAATGGTATATACCATGAATTATCCTGTTCAATTGTTCCTCACTGCTCAATAAAACATTTAATTAAGAATTATTTTGACTTTGCACAGAATCGTTAACCTTCCAGAGTTTTCTTACTTTCAGTTCAGGCTCTTGAGCTTCCATTTATCTCATTCTCTGCAAATAGTGCCCTACTTTTAAATTGAATTGGTTTTCAATCTTGTAACTTTTCCAAGGTCACTTACACATTGCTTTTCAGTGTTATTTTATTATAACTTTTGCTACATCATTTCATAGTTTTGTCAGAAGGGTT